GACGTTCTTCAAAGTCAGCTTTGGTCATTCACGATCTACTGCAGCGGCTAATCTATGATTATAACTTTTGATGGAACCATTTGTTTTTTTTTACGTTTTCGCTTCTATTTATCTTCTATAATTATTCTTATCATTATTGAATCTATCTATAAACCGATCTTTTATATCGTTTCAATCTAAAGCAGTTGCTAGTCCCTAATACCATTGAGCCGCTGGAACTTTTAATAATGAACCAAATAAAGCTCTTTGTCTATTATCATATGCATCTAGATCATCATCTTCTGGGTCTGCTGATCGAGTGCCTAGGGAAAAAGCTATCTTTTCTCTGCATTATTAAGAAAATCTCTTGCATCCTCATTCGGGTCTAAGCTTGTAATTTTTGCGAGGGCTAAATCTGGATTTGCAACTATATTAGCCCTTTTTAATTGTTCCTCAGCTTTTGGCGCTTAGTACTTAAAGTTTTGTATTTTGTCTACTGATAGCTTATTGTTTTTTATGGTTTAGATTCACCAATTTTTTCGGAACATGAGACCTATTCTAGTTTAATTTACGTTAGATGAGGCCTTTTTGTTTTCAATTGAATATTTTTTGAATATTTTAATAACGCTATCTGGAAGAGTAATCTTCTGGAGTATTGCTGCTGGAAAGAAAAATCGTGATTTTTAAATTTGCTAGTTTGGGTATTTTGTAACAAATTATTGGGCAAAATTCAGTTTATTAAGAGTTAAATTTACCATAGTTGGGCTTATTTGGATTAAATTTGGGTTTTTTTCTGGTTAAACTAAAATTTTATTTATCTTTCTTTGGCTAATTATTACCAAATTTGCGCAAATTTTATTTTATTGTGAAGTTTTTTTTGTTATTTGGGTTATTTTTTGGTAGATTGTCTAATGTTTTGTTAAAATTCTGTTTCTATGTCTTCATTGGAGCTATTTTATTTCACTTAAATTCAAATGTTTCTACCTTAATTGAGCTTGTTTTGACCAAAATTTGGCCAAATTTGTATATATTGGAAAAATTTATACTGTAAACAAGATCTTTTTGACTAAAATTGAGTAGCGAGATTGATTGTCTTGGTTGGCTTTGTTTTGCCCGCAATTGGGCAAAACTTCCGAAGAAAGGGAAGTTTATCTGTTTAATTAGGCTTCTTTTGATTTAAAAACGAGCAAGTTTTTTATAATTTGATAGGTTTACTGAAATTAATTGGCATTGTTTTTCCTAAAAAATTTTAATTTTCAAATTACATTGGATTCAAATTATCTTAATTGAATTTACTTTGCCGAAAATTGATTAAATGTTAGATTCATTCGGAGTTTATTTAGCTTAAACAGCTTTCGTTTGACTGAAATTAGGTGAATTTTGATGTAATTTTGAGTCATTTTATTTTAAATTGCTTTGTTTTGACCAAATTGGCGTAAGTTTTAGATTAATTGGGAGCTTATCTATCTTAAGTGGCTTTATTGTGACCAAATTTTAGTGAATTTGAGGTTATATGAGTATTTGCTTTTCTTAACTGTGCATATTTTGACTGAAATTGGGTAAATTTTAGATTCATTGGGAGTTTACTTATCTTAACTGGCTTTATTTTGATGAAGAATGTTAAATTTCAGATTATTTGGGAGTTCATCTGTCTTCAATGAGCTTTTTCTGATCATAAATGGACAAGTTTTGCTATATTTGGGTTTATTCATGTTAATCCTTCGGACTTTAATGATTGTTGACTAAATTGGGTAAAAAATTTTACAATTTAACTTCTATGGTTGTACCTTTTTTGTGAATATCACTGAAAGTTAGCATAAACTCAGTGGTTTTCGAAATAAACGCAATTTAGGTTTTCGAGTTAAAATCAATCGGAAAAAACACACTTAACAGTTCCTTCCTTAGTTGGTGTAGATAGTTCCTACCGTTAGCTAAAACTTCCTTACCTGTTGATAAAATCAAGTTGAGTCAAGTTAGTGGATGAGCCTCGCAAAATGGTGAAAATTAAAATGAAGCACAATTTCACAAGAAAGAATTGAGATTGAATCTCATTTGAGCACAGGTTTGATTGTGCATATGATATATGAAATCAATTTATCAATCATTTAGAGTACACTTAGTTTGCATACAGGACCTCTTACTCCTTTTTATGAATCATTTCAAAAAATTTCTAAGTTTCCACTTTTGAAGTATCCGATGAAAAATTAAACACATAAATAGTTAGGTTGATTTATGTTAGTAAGACCATTTTATTTGATGAGGTCGTTACATTGTGTAAACTGTTTGTTTATACTTACCGATTTGGTCAGAGACCGTTTCCTTTTGTTTGGTATATAGTAGTTATAGTAAAAATATGAAAAAGTTTCTTGAAATGAACTTAGCAGATAGCTGTCATAGGCTAATGAGCGATAGAAAAAAAATGATAACCTTGAATCTATAGAGGACTAACTGGCAAAAGGAGTCATTTAGATTGCGGGCTAGAGATTAATAAACTCCGTCTCGTATTTTTTGAAGAGAGAAACTGACTAACAAACTCATTTCCTAAAATTTCGAAATAATTAAAATTAACTCTTCTGTTTCTTAGACTACCTACATTTTAAATGATTGTTCTCTGCTCATTTTGCATCAGTTTTACTAAAAAAACTGAAGGGCCGTTGAAGGATTTTTTTGTTTTATTTAGTAATCAATATTTTATGGGGTCTGATTAAATCATATATCCTAGTCGATCAGGAGTTAAGGTAAAATTTCTATGAAGATATAAGTTAAACGGCATGATTAAACAAAAATTGTCAAAAATTATACACAACTGTTCATCTTTTGATACATTTACCAAAGAGAGGGGACTTTTATTTTAATAATTTGATTCTTTTCTTTCTACCAAAATTTTGATGGGATTTAATGGAGAAAAGATTGAAGGAAGTTAGTGTCCCACTGTTGTTTAGAAACGGGCACCATTTCCGTTGACCGTTGTCAGCTGAAGAAATATGTTCGACTCAAGGGTTGCTGTTTCAGTAATCGATAGAATTAATTCATATCAATTCAGAAATTTTTTTACCTCAAGTTTTAAGTATTGAGTAATTCTAGAAGAAAATTACGATAAGAAACAGGAGTTATTATTTTTAAGAGACAGATTTAAAGGAAAAGTACAAGAAGAGTTCAACTGGCTGTTTGGGCAAAGAAATTAGTGTCACTGAAAAATGCAGGCCGTCTCATCCGAAACAATTTCAGTTTGGTTTTGCCTGCACCTGCTATTACAATTAAGTTCTCATTTAATTTCTTATTCCGCTTTTGATTAGAAGACATGGAATTAAGTTCTCTTAAGACATGCCATTAGAATTGAGTCCTCTTTTTATCTCTGATTCTGCTTTTGATTAGAGAATTTTTTTTTATTTCAAAGCCAAAGCAATAGGCGCACTCCGCCTGATTGGCGTCGTAGATAAATATTAAGTTCCCTCGATCATCCGTTAAACGTTATCAAAAACCTTTGCCTTTTTCAAGGTTAAAAACTAAAACAATAAAAAATATAATCCGCTTAGAAATTAAGAAGTTGGAACTTTGAAAATGACGTTTTAATGTTTAAACTAAGTTATTCAGTTGAAATCTGATCCAAGTTTTAACTTAAAAGGGCATTCTTCTCCTCAGGTGTGAACAAATTTAGAATAAAAAAGAGTCCGTTCGAAGTTTATGTAAGCAAATTAAAAGAAAAAGTTTCTATTTTCTTGCAGCATTTCCAATATTACATATATGATATATCACTCGACTCGTTTTGGTTTTTTTGTTGTAACCAATTTTGATTGAAAAACGAAACAAGCCTGCTCGTTTCTATTTTTTGCCTTCTCTTCTGTTTCTTGATTTCTTTCCTGGCATGGTGACACTTTTGAATTGCATTTACACTAATTTAAGCAAAACAAGTCTGCTCGCTTTTTTTTTCGCTCGAAATTAGACCAAAAATCAAAAATTTCATGTCGTTTTTTACTCGACACTGAGACATTGTTATAGAAGTTTTTCGATGTCTTTCAAATCACGACTGAAAGGGCTGCACGATGATCTATTCCTTGACCCATTCCTGATTTTGCGTGGAAAACAAAAAAAATTAGAAAAACTCAAAATAAACTTGAAGACGAAGTTTCCCCCTACTTTCAAAGGCCTGAACAATAACAAATATATCCAAAAACATTGCAGATCAATTTAATGAAATTGATTGTCTTTTATATTCTTTGATAGAATTTTTAATGAGAAGGCTGAATGATTTTTAATAATCTATTTTGAATATATATTTTAGTGATAAAATTTAGTTTTTAGAAATTCTATTTAGAAATACTAATTCGTTTTTAGAATTAGCTTTGAAAAGTCTCAACTTGATCAATTTTAATCATTTAATGAGTCTTAATCATTTTGTTTGAATATACAAATTCAGCGATCAAATTCAGTTTTTAGAAAAATTAATTTTATCTAAGTTAATACAGTCGAATTCTGAGACAACTTTGGATTTTTCAGATCCAAATAAGTTTCAAAAAATAAGTTTCAAAAAATAAGTTTCAGATTCAAATATTTTCAGATTTTTCGATCTGTTTAATCAGTATCAGAGCAGCCTCAGTATCTGAAATGCAATGACCTCAACTTCTGAATCAGCTTATTTTCAGATTAACTTCAGAGTCATCTCAGATCTCATACTTCCGAGACATATCCATGACTGACAAATCCACGATTTTTTCAGATTTACATTTGATATTAACTTCAAAACTGCACTTTAGAGATCAGAATCTGAATATTTTAAAGCTAATATAAGATCTGAAATTGTTTCTGATGAAATAAAAATTTCATCGGTTTTGTGATATTTCAATTGTGAAGTCAATTTTAAACAGATAAAAGTTTTACCGAATCAAAAATTGTTTCAGATCTGATATTAGCCGAACAATAACCTTATTCAGACCTCTAAAGTGCAGTCTTCATAGATAACATAGTGCCAGAAGGATGGAACGGCAGAAAATTATGCGTCAATCAAAAGTCTTTGAGCTGAAGATTGAGTTCATTCAGTTCTGACACGTCTATAGTATTGCTAGCGTAATACAGACCATAATTTATACGATATGAGTTTAAACGCGTCTCAAAATCGCGACGGGAGATCTCAAACAGAGCAAAATTTTGATGAAATTGGCTGTTAGAACCTTCATTCATATCTGCGGTTTCGTATTTGTTTCAACTTTATAAATCACAACCCGTTTTAAATAGATAATTCAGCGTGAAATGGCTGATTGTTCCAAAAAATTTAGCTCAGACTTTTTACGTAAGCTTTGGCGTAAGAAAACTCTGGAAGCCGATATGTCTCAAACGGCACTCAAACGATGTCTGTCTATGTTTGACCTTACAATTCTGGGTATTGCCAGCACTTTGGGTGGGGGAATATACGTTCTTGTTGGAGTCGTTGCGCATAGTGTCACTGGACCAGCGTTGGTTCTATCAATACTCGTTGCTGGTTTTGCGAATTTTCTTACGGCACTTTGTTTCGCCGAGTTCGGATGTCGGATTCCGAAAACCGGAGCGTCCTATATTTTCACGTACATTACCCTTGGGGAGCTGGCGGCGTTTCTTATTGGTTGGAATCTTCTTTTGGAGCATATTCTTTCAGCAGCGATAGCAGCTCGAGGTGTTGTTATAAACACAAATGCGATCGGAAACCAGTTTATTGCAAAAGCGACTACGGACTTTTTTCTGAAGATGGATTGGGACCCATATGCAGTTGTTATTGTTGTTGCGGTGACCATAATGACATGCATAGGTAAGTAGAACAAATTTCCAAAGATGATTTTCAAATTAAAATAAAAAATTTCTTCTCTTCAAGCAGAGCCTTATAAGAATTGCCCAGTTTCTTGCAAAGAGCTGCTTTTCTTCCTCGCATACAACCCCCCCCCCCCTCTCTACCCTTGTATACAAGAAAAGACTAGCCATTTTTTGTCTTCTTTCCTGGCATGGTGACATTTTTGAATTGCATTCACACTAATATAAGCTAAAAGAGGTGCGGACATCATTATGGTCCTCAAACGACCAGATTTTCAGAAAGTTTAACAGCTTTAAGGCGTAACTTGATCAAGATATCGGCTTGCGGCCTCTCTTTCAAACTAAGGGCAATAAAATGACTACTGAAAAATTGCAAAAGTGTAAATTGTAAATAAAAAAGATGAATGTTTGGTTTGTTCATATTTTTAGGATTGCGTCAGACCGCAATCGTGAACAATACTTTGACCAGTGCGAATCTGCTCACTCTCATCTTCTTCGTCGTAATGGGCTTCTTTTTGGGCGACTGGTCTAACTGGTCGAACAATTTCTTACCTTATGGTTTTTCGTCTGTCTTCGTTGGCGCCTCTCGTGTTTACTTTTTCTTTACGGGATACGACGTGGTAACTGTGGCCAGCGAGGAGGCAAAAAACCCCGCTCGATCTGTTCCGGTGGCACTAATTACCACCATTTTATTTGTAACAGGTCTCATGTCTTTGATAGCCGTTTCCCTTACCATAATGGTGCCATATTTGGACATTTCTGAAACGAACGCGTTATCAGCAGCTTTTGACTATAACGGCTTACATTGGGCTGCAAATACAGTTTCAGTAGGAGCTATTCTGTCGCTGTCGTGTGTCGTTATTTCCGATATCATGTGCATATCACGAATGACCTATGCAATAGCTTCGGAAGGACTTCTGTTTCGATTTTTGTCTCGAGTTAATACAAGAACGCAGGTGCCAATAATTGCCACAATTTGCGGGGCGATGATAGTAATTCCAACAGCTTTTTTCGTACCACTTGAAGATTTAGCAGATATGATGGCATTTGGAAATCTCTTGGCGTACGCGTTTGTCGCTTTTGCAGTGATCAAACTTCGAACAACAATACTAGAGTTTCCAAAGCACGACGGGTCAACTGATTTATGCGATGAAGCAAGCAGCCTTCTTGGGAATGGAAACGAAAACTATTCCCCGAAAACTATATTTCACGAAATATCCAAATCCAACAAGAACCAAATTAATTTAGAGTGGAACCAAAAACAATTCATTTCGGCAACTTTGTTTCTTCTTTGTGCTTTCCTTGCGTGTATAGCCCTGACAATCGCCCAAAACGCAACAATTGATAAATTCGTAGAGTTTTGGGCATGCATTATTTCTTTCGCTTGCTTTTTATGTATAGCTGGGTTTTGTTTGGCATTTTTCTGGTCCGATTCTAGTATCACTGACTACGGGGACGACAATGGATACAGAGTACCTTTGGTGCCAGTTTTACCAGCCTTTTCGGTCTTCGTGAATTTCTACTTGATGACTCAGTTAAGTTTGGTGACTTGGGCCAGATCAGCTATTTGGGTGACCTGTGGACTCTTAATATATTTCTTCTATGGGGCAAAGAACAGTTCTTTGGAGGAAAAGGATATGGACGATTCAAGAATAGAATGCGAATGAAAAGTCAAAAATCAGAGAGTTGATCACACATAATACAGAACGAAGGAAAAATTTTATATGATCACTAAGATTATCAAAATAGTTGAGTAGTATTCATTAAAAAGTTGCACAATTACACACTTAATGATTGCTAAAAACTTTGTGCACTGCTAACAAAATTGGCTCTAATTCAATTAATCATTCTTTTCGTATATCAAATACTAACGAGCAATATGTTGAAGATGTATTCATCGTTATAAAGCACTAAAAATATTGAATTAAGTTTGAAAATTGGTTTGACTTGGCTCTCCGAGATTATATAAGTCAAATACTCAAATGGCGGAAACCAGTAGCTGATTTAGGGTGGGTGGGGTGGGAGCCCCCCGTCCCCCCCCCCCCCCCCCCCCCAGGGATTCGACGCCCTGCCGACCAAAAGGGTCCCCTTTATACTATTTTGAGATATCCACTTCTAGATCACTGACCTCGAAATTTTCCAAAAATGTGCCCAAAAACGTTGTTTTTTTTGGCCTGTTTCTTGTAAAAGTTGCCTGCGGCGCAGAAAATTTGGTCAATATTGGCTCTGTATAGAGATTTGGGAGAGCCTAGAAAATCAATTTGCACGACTTATTAAAAAGGTCGAAAAAAATTTCAATTTTTTTGTAAATCGCCCCCACTCCCTCGAGAAATTTTTAGATCCGTGCCTGGCGGAAACAGCCAAAAATCTTTCAAAATTCAAAACTCACTGTAAAAGCTGAATTTTTTTCAAAGGAAAAACTGATCGGATTATATTTTTAAATGTAAACATTTTCCGTAACTTTGGTCTTTGTGGTCTAGCTTTGTGTCAACTTTTTTCAAATTCTAATGGAATATTTCAAAAAAGTAATTACATCAACTTTGTTTCAATTTTTTTCCAATTAATTATTTTGTCTCAATTCAAAAAGAACAGATATCTGATTCCATGCAATCACAAAAAACTGAAAACAAATCTGGTGCGCATTGATATATTCAATTGATCAAAATATTTGCAGATTATTATTTTTCAATTTTCAAAATGACTACAGGATTATGGAAAAACACTGACTGTTACTTAAGCTTTTTTAGAAATGTAAAAGTTGATAAAATTTTATAAAAGTAATTGAAATAAATGTTAACTGAAAATTTTTTAAAATATCATCAAAATTAAGATCTGGATCAACGGTACAATTTCTATTAATGCTTTAGAGAGGACGAAATACCAGTTTTTAGTTGGTAGACCGTAAGTTTATAGTTCCAGTTAAGATACAAAAACTATGAGCTATGTTCAGATAATGAGAGACTGTTTTTGCAGATTAAAGACAAATTTAAAAGTAATCATCAGAAATTAGACTGCAAGCAAATTAGACGACAAGCAAAGTAGACTACAAGCAAAGTAGACGACGAGCAAATTAGACAACGCTAATTTAAAAAACTTACAGATAATGTTGCTGCAATAAAGTAAAAAATAGCTGAAAAAGGATGTAGTAAATAAGCAACAGCTATATATTGTATCGAGACATTTTGTGAATTTAACGAGACACGCAGTGTCGAGATGTGAACAAATTTCGACATGCAATGTAGCACCTCTACTCTTGTTTATCTAAAAAAGAACGCATGTGAAAAATCGAACAAATGAGTTTGAAAAAGTTTTCACCATAATACAAAATTTTTTCTTTCTAATTTCTTTTGGTTGATTTTTTGAGAATTATATTGCGCTTTTGTTTCCAATATTGTACTAGCGTTTCAAATTTTGAACCAATTTTTCAAATATTGCGCTATGGTTGCAATTTTTGCATCAGTATTTCAATTATGACACGGAAAAAATGTGCTGTATAGCAGTTCAAAGTAATTATTTCATTTAAAATTTTTCTAAGTGATACTTTCTGCACGCTTTTTCATTTGCAGGATTTATTAGCAATCAATTTTCAACATTGTTATATATGGTTAGGGGAAGATAGATTCAACGGTAAATCACTTAGAGGAAAGAAACTGTACGATAGATCCCATTTATTTAGTTTGAAGCAGAATTTTTTAATAACATTCTATTTAAAATAAAAAAGTATTCAAACTATGCTCTTTAGGTAAAAATTAATGGCACATTTTTATTGCTCGAAATTTTATATCTTTTTTGCCATTTTTTTTTTTTCGGTTTGTTTCGATACGCGGAGGAGTATCCACGGAGCTTTCACGTAGGTGAACTCTTGAACCGTCATTGTTTTGACAATACATTTATTACTATTTCTGGTCCTTGTAAAATCCCAAACGTATGAATCAGGTACATTTTTGGCCATTTCAATCACACTGAAAACTATCGTATTCAAGATTTAATTTTTTCTGCAGTTGGAAGGCAAGTCAAAACCTAGCTTTCGGATTACTCATTTTGTTTGGGTAAACCCTAGATGCAAGTTTCCAGTTATACAAAAACTTTAACATATAAAAATTATTTCAGAAGATTTTGCAAAACTACTTTTATGAGGGAATTTTGCAATGCAAACAAAATTTCGCAAAAAAAAATTATCAATATCAGTTTTGTCAAAATCATGCATTTCAAATTTTTTTTTTATACTATTAGCAATTAATAACAAAACATTTCGAATTTTTTTTTGATTGGCTGAATGCAGCCTTATCAACGTGTTAGGTAGAAATTGTCTATTAATTCCGGTTTTCGAAGAGAAGACAGAACATTCATGCTTGGGGGGGTTTTTATATTCAGTCAATTTCAATTTTTAAAGGTTTTTGATTGAGTATTTTAATTCAGAGTATCATCCGAGTATCATTAGAGCAATTTGGAATATCATCCGTTAAATGATGTTTTTTTGTAAGTCTCAACTTCAAAAAATGTATAATTTTTTCTGTGATCGTTTTTTGTCAAATTACGGTGTTTGAAAATAACCAATTCAGCTAATTCGCGGTAAAAAACGCGCAATTTATTATGTTATTAAAATACGGATTATTGTGTTCCAAAATGAATTGAGGCGAGCAAATGAAAACCATTACAACAAAACAAGACGGTTAACAGGCCCTTTGTAATTAAAATATCGCACGGGGAACAATACAAAGATATAAAACAAATAGTTATTTCTTCAATTCTTTATTTCTTTAATTGTTCAGACTGGAAAAAAAATATAGTTGGCCTGAAAGTACAGTTAAAAAAATTCAAGATTTCACCTTGATACGAGCAGTTTTTCGTTTTTCTAGTTTTCTTTAAAACATCAATTAAGTTGGAGTAAGCGCTGTTTATTGTTCTATTTTCAAAGAAAGCTGTGCACAATTTTTTTAGACCAATTTAGGCAATCGAAAGAGTACTTGTTCTGTATTCGAAATCTAAAAGGATATTTAATCGTTTATTTGACTTGTAGTTCTGGGTTGGGTTAGGGTTAGGGTTAAATATGCCATTTTGGTAAAACTATTGGAGAAATTTCTACGCGCTTGTAATAATTTATCTACGATGCTCGATATTTAAGCGCAGTGGAATATTTCCCAGTCTAAACCATTCTGAGTTGAATTCAGCCAGCTAATTTTTCCATTATAAGTAATAGCAAAAAATTGGAACAGACAGAAATAATTAACAAGAGCAATCTGCTAATTTGGAGCGACTTTTGCATGCAAATTTGAGTTTTTAGTTGACCTTTAGCCATAATTTCTGTCTGAAAAATATTGCATGCAAAGCTGTCTGAAATAGGTCAGTTGCTCTTTTTCTATTTTTTAGAATAACTATAATTAGTAGCAAAAAGTTCGGACAGACAGAATTAATTAAAATGAGCAATCAGTGCTTTTCGACGCTTTTTTACATGCAAAATCTGAAGCCGGACAACCTTGAACTTTTTGTCAGACCAAATTCGAACAGCAAGATCATCAATTATCCGATGATTATGCTAGCCTAATTTTTAAATACTGCGATCAACATCCAGATTTACTATAAAATAGGTAGCGAAATTAGTGTAAAAATCAAAATCTAGGCCGTTCCAAAAAAAACGGAAATAAGAAGCTGATCAAATTATTCAAAATTTAGAAAAACTTTAGCCACTTTTGCAATAATTTTCCTGTTTCAAGGTTTACTATTCCCCGCTTCTGAAACAGTTGCCCGCCGTGGTTATAAGTTTTGAGTGATACTCTGCTTTATAAATTTTCGACGTTATTTTTATTTCAGTTTTTATTTCCGCTGATGTCTAGGCAGTTGCTCTTTTTAATTAATTCTGTCTGTCCGAACTTTTTGCAACTCTCTATATTATAGAGAGTTGCAAAAAGTTCGGACAGACAGAATTAATTAAAAAGAGCAACTGTCTAGACATCAACGGAAATTAAAACTGAAATAAACATAACGTCGAAAGTTCATAAAGCAGAGTTTTTGCTCAAAACCTATAACCACGGCGGGCAATTGCATCCCGAAGCCGAGAAGTTAAGGGCAAGATTTTGCGCATAATCTTCTGGTAAAGAAAACCAAATATCGCGAACTTTTTGGGCAGCTTCTTCAGGAGTTTTTAGGGGATCTAAAGCCATTTTTTTCTTTATTCTTCCCCACACATTTTCAATTGGGTTTTGATCAGGGCTATATTGGGTTTGTTTTATTGGGGCGGCCTAATCTCTTTTTTTTGTTGAATTAAACTCCTTGATATTCGTCTTTGTAAAACATCATAAACGCTAGATTTCGACTTTTTAACCAATTCTGCTAACTGTTTTATTGTAAAATCTTGATGTTCATCGCAGTATTTAAAAATTAGGCTAGCATAATTCTCGGATAATCGACGATCTCATATTTTGAATTTGGTCAGACGAAAAATTCAAGGTTGTTCGGCTTCAGGTTTTGCATGCAAATAAGCATCGAAAAGCACTGATTGCTCATTTTAATTAAATCCGTCTGTCCGAACTTTTTGCTACTAATTATAGAGCAAAAAATTTGGACAGGCGACCTGAATCAAAAAGAACAGTTGACCTATTTTTCAGTCCGATTTTGTGTCACAAGGTCGTCTAAAAAAAGAAATTGCATGCAAAAATTGGTCAAAATGGTACGATTGCTCTTTTAATTTAATTCTGTCAGACCAAATTTTTTGCAACTCTCTTTTCGCGAAAAACAATTAGCAAAAAGTTAGAGCAGACAAAAATAATTGAAAAGAACAATATACCAATTTTGAGCAACTTTTGCATGCAAATTTAAAATTTTAGGAAACCTTGAGACATCTTTTGTCTGAAAAACTAAATTTAGCGTGTAAAAAAGTTCTGAAAAAATCAGTTGCTCTTTTTAATTAATTTTTTCTGTTCCATTTTTTCGCAATTCTCTGTAGCTTTCAAGAAATTTATTGGACAACGTCTTAGATTTTCGAAAAAAATT